CTGGAATATGTAACAAGTTTGGACCTTATGGTCGTTAAGTTGTAACCTAGAACTTCTGGAATATGTAACAAGTTTGGACCTTATGGTCGTTAAGTTGTAACCTAGAACTTCTGGAATATGTAACAAGTTTGGACTTTACAGTCATTAAGTTGTAACTTAGAACTTCTGGAATATGTAACAAGTTTGGACCTCACAGTCATTAAGTTGTAACTTAGAAATTCTGGAATATGTAACAAGTTTGGACCATACAGTCATTAAGTTGTAACTTAGAAATTCTGGAATATGTAAAAAGTTCGGACCTTACAGTCGTTAAGTTGTAACCTAGAACTTCTGGAATATGTAAAAAGTTTGGACCTTACAGTCATTAAGTTGTAACTTAGAAATTCTGGAATATGTAACAAGTTTGGACCTTACAGTCATTAAGTTGTAACTTAGAAACTCTGGAATATGTAAAAAGATTGGACCTTATGGTCGTTAAGTTGTAACTTAGAAATTCTGGAATATGTAACAAGTTTGGACCTTACGGTCGTTAAGTTGTCAGTTGTAACCTAGAACTTCTGGAGTATGTAACAAGTTTGGATTACAATACATTTCTTCCCACTACTGGCTCCCTTAACTAGTGTTAGAAAGAAGCCAGGACTATCCAATGTGTTTCTCTATCATCAACCTTTGTTGCTACTAACCAGCAATGTGTGTGTCAATCTCAATACAACAGTTTACAAAAATTCTCAAATCTTCTAGTCCGTACTGTTCTTATTAACAAACTACTCTACCATTTAGTATACCTAACTTCTAGTCCATACTGTTCTTATTAACAAACTACTCAACCATTTAGTATACCTATCTTCTAGTCCGTACTGTTCTTATTAACAAACTACTCAACCATTTAGTATACCTAACTTCTAGTCCGTACTGTTCTTATTAACAAACTACTCAACCATTTAGTATATCTAATTACTTCCTTAGTTTCATAGATTTCTGAATTATGATACTTGACATTTGTAAGCTACTTTGACATTTTCTTGTTAATTCCTATAAATTTGATGAATTTTTGAATTATGATGAAATAGATTGTTTTGGGAATAATTATTTTAACATTCAGCATTTTGGCTTTTGATCTTCATAACAAAATTTAATAATCTGTTTGATCCATCTCATTACTACTAGAGGAACTGGAACTGTAATAATCTTACTGTCTGCAGTATCTTGTTACTGGTATGTGACTTGAAAAAGTGCAAGATAGTAATAAATTCTAAAACACAAATGTGACAACTACTACTTTCTTTTAAATGACTGAGGGGGGGATACCAAATGTATTGTACATGTAAACATACTTCATTGTTAGCTAACAACATTCCTGATGGAAGTGAACCTGGTGTTTCTCTAACATTCCTGATGGAGGCAAACCTGGTGTTTCCAGTTGCTAGGAATGTTTGTTTTTGAAATGCTAAAAATGTAACAAGCATATTTTTCCCTTCTATTATTGGTACAAATATCACATAAAAAATTCATAATTATAGTTTTTTAAGTTCTAAGACAATTAAAGAATGGGATAAATAATGCACCACATCTTGTAATGGTTTTTTATACTGTCGTGATGGGTCTACAGGAATTAAATAATGCATAACATCTTGTAAGGTTTTTTTATATTGTCATGAT